AAAAGGTAATTAAGAAAACAAATTTTTTTTTATAATAAGATCAGAATGAAATGTAATTTTTTAACAAAAATATTTCTATAAGACTATGATACATGGCTAAAAATAAAAGATATAGCTAAAAATAAACGATGGAAAAAGTTCGAAATTTCTGAACTTTCGAAAACATTATTTCTTTAGAAATACGAATTATATTTATATTTTCTAACTCTTCTATTGACCAACTTTTTTCTAAAACTTTTCATTTCTAAGAAATTTCGATCAATATTTTCTCAATTAGTTTCTCATAGACTTGTAACAGATGATATGTTCGATTTGTTAAATAAATCAATGTATTATGAGATTTATAGAGAACAATTACAGTTTATGTTTATGTATCAATATTCGACTACTTCTAGTAGTAAATCGATACACAAAAACAAGCTTGTGATATTATTAATAATTTATATCTCAACATTTAAACTTGATTCATGTCATATATAAAATCAATCTTTTGAATCTTTTTTAATTGTTGACAATTCAATTAGATTATAACCGAAATCGAATAAGAATTGTAAACAACAACAGCAGTTAAGTTTTGTGATAAATTTCAAATGCATTGATTTCTTTGCTAATGTTATAACATCAAGTTAAAAAGAGATGATAGAGAATAGAAAGAGTGTATGCTAATAAATTGCATTAAGACGATACTGTTCAAATTCATAAGTCTGTTATCTAATTATTTTATGAGGAAAATTTTGATATTGAAATAATCTACATGTAGAAATTTTAAAATTTATTCGAGTAAAAATGAATGTTCAATTTACTAGTTAGGAAGACTAAATCCTACTGATCTTTACAATAATCAAATTGGAGATAATCGAGCACAACGAATTGCAAACGAACTAAAAGAAAATAAAGTAAACCTCTTTTTTTAGTTAATTTCATAAAGAATAGACCTTAAATGAGTCATATACATCTGTATATTGTTCTTAATTGTCAACAGAAGAATCTGAATATGCAGTTTTGTGATGGATGACAAATATTTGTCAAAATTTTATTCTTTCATAGTTGAAGAATTTGCTTAAATGAATTATTTGTTTGAAGTGAGTGTCTGTAACATTCTAAGATTTTTTTATTTCTTAGTTTATAATGTTAATCATATATCGATCTACTGCGAAATAATATATTGTAAAAGAATTTTCTATTAAAACTAAAAACCAGCTTCATGAAAACAAAAGCAAACATGTTTGTCAAATATGTTCAATTTATGTTATACCATTAGTAGTTAATTAAAAGCGTATTACTATAAGCCTCTTCTATTTTTATCATAGAAATATTCGATATAATTGAATAGAAATCAAAACTATGTTATTTTAATGAAAAAATAATGTTTCATCAAAAAATTTCTATGATAAAATCTGAATAAAAGTTTGTGATTTCACTTACTTTGTAAATATATGCACTGTTCAAATAATCGATGTATACTTTTAGTTATTTTTTCCTCATTAAGTTACAATTATATAATAGGAAATCGATTATTTTACTCATTATCTTCATGATGAAGATTTCTCGTGAATAATTTGTTAATAAGTCATAAAAACTTCTAAAATTAGTTTATCTTAATAAGCAAAGCAAAAATTATCATAGTCTGAAAATTACTCCGCCGTAAAACACTGAAAATCAACAGAACATGCAATTAGTATTCTGGTTGGAGGTTTTTCAGAGATTATCTAATGAATTTCAATGTTTAAACAAAGAAGTGGCATGTTTTCTCTGCCAGTTTCGGGGCTATTCTGTAACTGGAATAATCGATCTGGATATGATTATTTCTCCAAAAATCTCATTACTTCTTTTTGGAAAGAAATAAGATTTCTGGACAGTTAGAATTAAATCAAGAAATGAAATTAATTACTTTGAATTATAATTTGGAAGTTAAAAACAAAAAAAGAAAACATAATTAACTATCTATTAATAGAACCTTTTAGATTATCTATAAGACATATTCAGAAGAAAAAAAATTCTATATTGATCATTGGTTTCTAACATTTTCATAAAAATTTTGTAGTTTTCAAAGGAATATAATGAATTTGGGTAGTGAAATCAAATAAGTTGTCTCAAAATCTTCATAGATTATCCATAATTATCTACATGTCTCATAAAATTAGAATAAAATTATAGAACGAACTTTTCTGAAGATTTTATGTTTAATAATAGATATTTTTTGTATCACTAAGAAATTATTCTTTTTTCTATCTTCTAAAACTATACTTATATTTTGATTAGATCATATAAAATATTTTACAACAAACTTTACTCAGATTCATCATATATTGCTACGAGCAACATGTATTTTGCTTTTTTAATGATTACAGTTCTCTATAAATAATGATTAGAAAATAATTCATAAACATTTTAATCAATTAAATATTTTCTTTCTAATCAAATAAATAAAGAATGAAAATAGTCAAATGCTATTATTTACTAAAATTGAAGTCATTTCTTTAAATGATTTCTCTATTGTTATATATGACGAAGATTATTTATTTTTAAAATTGTGTAATATTGAAATAGATAATATCTTTCTAAAAATTCTCAGATTCATAAACATTCTTTAGAAATAACCGATTTTAGGTTTAAATTTGTTGTATTTTGGTGAAAATTAGTTATTGTATCAATTATGAAGATTAGAATCTGATCTATATGAATATTTCTTCTGTTTAATTAAATAAATTTAGAATGTTTTAGTTACTATTCTTAATATTATGGAAACTTCATCATTTTAATTTGAAATTTGATTTAAGTTAATTTTGATCAGCACAACACAAAGAAGAACCGAAGTTTAAAGTACTGATAATGTTTTTTTGCTTTGATTTTCTTATTGCCGTCATTCTCAGCACTGTTATGAATTCTTTTTAGAAGTGTTCAGAAAATGGGTGTGGGTGGGATCTGGGTGCGGATCAACAATAAATAAACACATCCACACCCACGCTATAACAGTAATTTCAATTCAATGATCAGGATAAGGCATATATTATTGGAAAAATTCAAATAAAAACCAATATAATTTCAAAAAGATTTACTTATATACTATCATCGGATTCTTTGCTCTTCTAATTTTTTCCTTTATTTCATTATTTATAGATGGTTTACTTTTAAAACTGGTTCATCTAGTATGACGGAAAGAAACATTATATAGAAGAACGGTCTGACTTTTCTAAGCTTTAAAATAGTTTAATTGTATTTGACTGTAGTAAAATGTGGGGTGTGAGTCAGGGTAATGGAACACATACACACTCAAACCAACCCACACTCTTAACGTCGGTCTTCGTAATTGCTAAAAGATTCACGTCAAACTACCTCTGTTTTCTAATTTAATTGGACTGAAATGATCGAAAATCGTTCCTGCCTCTACCAGAGTATAATGATTGAGAGAATTTTTACACTCATACCAAACTCACTGGAACAAACCACCTGAATTTTAACAGAATCGAAATCTGGATTATGGCTGCTGGATCACATATGACATTCACTCTCAAGAAAAAGGGAACCTTAATGCGACTATGTTTGCCTCATTTCGACCAGATTTTTTTGTCTTAATAATCCAATAGTCAGGTCAAAGACTGTTCTGTATGACTATTTTCACGGTTCTTTGACATATTGGAAAAGTCCATACGTGTGTCATTCATTCACTCTTTATACATTAGAAAAAAAATCAATAAATGATCATTGCATGTCAGCGATGCGATCACTTCGCATTTTGTATTGAGATTGTCCACACGTGTTTTGTTGATGTGAGAGCCGACTAATGTATTTTCGTTCTTTTCTCTTCATACATTGATTGCAAGTAATGTTCGCTAAGTTTATGACGAGAAAAAGAACATTGCATACACGGACATTCCTATCATCGGACTGCTTGCTTATTTTTCGTTAATGTGAAAAGATATGATATATGTATCACAGTGATCACTACAGAAGAAGAGGAATATAAATGTGTACTTTTCGCATTCTTATTCCGTTTTTTTTTACATTATTTTTTATTCGCAATTAGTGCATTTACCCATTTTCATTCTACTTCGGTCGTCCGTGGGCATTATTTAACAGTGAGTACCATTATACTATTTGGATTTAGTCTATCTTACTGGAATGATATGTTTCCGTACCAGAGTTTATTGGATGGAAAAAGTCTCATTGCCAGTTCTATCATATTGTCGCTCTCGAAAAGAGACAAAGAAATCAGCTGCTTACGAACGAGCTCAGAGCAAAGGATATATCACTTGTTCTTTGACGCTGTTTGTCACAGTTCATACAAGCTAAGTTGATTTGCTTGTTGAGTTCAACAGACAAACAAAATATATACTCCAAAATCGAAATCTTGGAAATCCAGCTGATTTTTTCAGAAACAACTCAGCTTAACGTATGGCCGAACTTGCTAGATTTACAGACTGTCAGCACTAAACTATTTTTTTTTCTAGATACAGACTACTGTCGATCCCGCGCTATATCACTGGATGGGCTAAATGGAAATCCACTTTCTCTCTGGAAAATAGCACAAAACTTATAGTAATACATGGTTCCCTCAAGCGATACAGGATGTTTCATACGTTTTGAGGTTTGTTAAAAATTAGTTTATATTCAAATAAAAAAACGATCTCAAACCAAATGCTTTTATATAAAGTTTGAATACTCAATGACGGTTTTTCAAATGATGTATTATGAGAAGACATCTTGTCTTATGATAGTAAAAAAATATAAACATGACAACAATATATTAAATTTTTCGAAATCGGCCAACATGAAATTTTCATTAAAAAAAAGATATTTATTTGATTAGACAAAAATGTAGTTTAACTATCATGTATCTCTTCTCCACTATTGTTTATCACTTCGCCGAGTCTGTTAGGAATTTTATCGATCACTTCTTTACAATCATCACAAATTATTTTTTCCATTCTTTGTTCAAAACTTGAAAACTGTTCCTCTCATGTTTTTTCCTTTAAAATTCCCCATGCATTCTCAATAGACTAGACGTAAGCAAATTTAGCATCGTCTTCTTCTGGTAAAATTCGATGATTAAATAATTCATCAACAATTTGTAGTACAGTTTTTATTCGTTGTTTTGAGTCTGCATTGTCTTGAAATAGAAGATCTCTTCGACATACCTTTTGACTTTCTGGATGAATAATTTCTCTAATAAATTTAGCATAAATCACATTTTGTCTAATCAAATTAATATCTTTTTTTAAGATAAGAATGTTTTTCTTTTTTTTTAATGAATAATTCATGTTGGTCAGTTTCGAAAAACTTATTATAATATTGTCACGTTTATATTTTTACTATTATAAGAGAAGATGTCTTCTCATAATACACCATCACACTCTAATGTTTTGGATCTATAGCTAACTTTCTTTGCTCTTTCGAACTGGATAGTCTATTTCAAAATGAAAACTTTTTCGGCAATCGGCTTGGGTGATGATCTCACGAATTCTCTCTTAAAATTAAACGAATTGCTTTGATTAATTAATTGAAATATTTCATTCTTGATTTTGCTTTTACGAAAGCTTCAATTTGAACTGAATAAGCTTAACGACGTTCAATATTTATTCGAGATTAGAATCGTCATAAATTATATTAACAAAGTTATTCAAGAAGTAATACCACTAACAATTGTATTGTGTTTACCAGCTTACATTATTGCAAGATCTGGTATCTGGCCTATAAAACTAATTGAAACGTTTTCAAATAGTTAGTGGGATATTATTTCGCCTATAATATACACATATTTATTCGTGATTGTGGGTCACTTTCTAATGATTCGCCGAAATGAAACGAATCTAATGCAAGTGTTCGTGTCATTATCGTTGGCAATTGAAGCCACCGTTGGCATTCCTCGAGCTATCTATGTTGGAACAATTCTTAACAGTGTCATTCCGGAACAGAGCTATTGATTTCATGTTCCATATCGAAATATTGCACAGTTACTAAGTATGATTTTGTTTTCCATTGGTTTGTACTACAAATTATCATTTCTGGTCGAAAGGGAAAGGAACAATATCACCAATGATGCCACCAAAGTAGTTTGTGGTGAAAGGACCCTATAAGTTCGTACGAACTCCAATGATTGCGTCAATACTCATGATAATTATTACCGAGGCTTTGTTTTTCAATTCTAACGGAATGGCATATTTTACTGGTTCATTTTTTGTTTGCAAAACATTTTACTTCATCTTTAAAGAAGAGCCTAAGCTTGTTGAGAGATTTGGTCGACCTTATAAGGAGTATTGCAAGAATGTGAATCGTTGGATGTTCACACTCACTCCTTACGAAACATCATCAAAACCCAAATAATAGTGTTTAAGTTTATTATTATTTCAATGTATTGTAAGGCTCAAATTAAATGAATTAAGTAAATATATATAATTAAGCAAACATCTTCGGTAGCTATCTTTGTTAAATGTTCAATGTAAATATTAACATTAATAAACTACAATAAAATATTTCTTAATTTTGTCTGAATCCTTATTTTGCTATGCAAAAACATCTTCATTATCCTCTAGTTACAGTTAAATAATATTTAGCGTGATAGTTTTAGGTGAGCAAATTAGGGAGTGATAGTTCGTGTTGCAGAGGTGTGAGTGTCTTCTTTCACGTTCAAATCCACACCCACACCCACACCCACACACCTCTATACTTTTCTCGAACAATCATGTTAATCGATGTGGTAACTCGATATATCTCTTTTTCTCTTGGATTATTAATTGACTGATGACATTTATTATTCATATTTTCGATTGTTTAACTGTTTGCGTTTAGAAATCTAATAAGAGTGTGAGGTGCAAGATGTAGGTGGAGTGCAAGGGTATTTTCTTCACGAACATTTCACACCCACACCCACACATGAAACAATGTCATATAAAGTGTCTTTCACTGTTGAAAAAAGGCGATGCTTTGTAGTTATTGAGCAGTGTTCATCAATGTATTACACTGTAACAACAATCAAATGTCACTACGTAGTAGACTTTGATTATTGTCTACTATTACTGGTCTTCTCCCATTACTTTTTCTCTTTTTATTTGAATGTATAAAGATTTCAATTAGTATACAATTTTTTTTATACTGATTTGGTCACTCAAATGGTAACAACATAGAAACTGTCATCAGTACACCGACCGGTGTAATCTACACTATTTACATGATTTGTGAGAAAATTTCGAGTTGTTTACTATCATCTTCCACATTTTTATAGCTTTAAACGGAATTGAGATTGTGAAAACTGGATTTCAAACGATGATTAGGTGTGGAAAATAAGTGTCTGACTTGTGTCAAAACTAATGTGTGGGAAAGAAGAAAATGCATTCAGCTGATTTTGAATCAACAAGATTTGAAACATACAAAAATTGACCACTCATGATTAGTCAATCTAGAATTCAAATATGAATTCATTTAGCGTAAATCTCTATTGTAAAACGACATTTATGGAAATCTGATTTGAGTTCACGCACAATATTCAACATTGCTAAATCAAACTTTTATTTTCTAGCTTCTGTTAACCAGAGAATTTCGATCTTGAATGCGGTTACTTTGCAACTCATCGATAAAAATGAAGGAGTTCGCGCTTGTCTACAATATATTTATCATATACTATAGAATAAATAATCCAAACACTGAAGATTTTCAGACATACAAAGTGGCTTAGTCATTCGACTGCGACAGACAGAAGAAGCTGATAAAGTTTCTTGAATAATAGCTTTTTGATAATTCAAATGTTGAAGAAGGGTAGTTGGGATGCTATTTCTCAAGTATAGATTCTGAAGATGCCAGAAAAGATTCATTTCCGATACAATTATGCCATGTTTCATTTCCTAATCTAAGTTTGAGACTTACATCATTTTTTCAAAGTCAACTCCTATATTTGATGGTAGAACAATAAAACATTGACAGAATAAGTCTTGAATATATATAGTGACATGTGTTTCGTCCTTCTATAGAACCCGTTTTTGTGGAATTTACATCAATATTTTTGAAGAAAAATAACAAGTGTAAATTTCAAGTCGAAGTTTTGGAGCATCCACTTCATTGAAAGACTTTAGCTACGGAAAAAGACGTCAGATTGTAAGGATTTGACTGTTTCAGAACCTTCCACAGCTTTCGTTAAATTTCAATTACTACACTATATTTGCCAATACTCATCACAGTCAGTACACAACCAACATAAAAATCGTGAAATAATCAAAACTTCAGAAAGCAGTTAATATCAATATTTGTAAGCAATCTTATTTTTACAACTGCTGTAGATACAATAGATGTGAAGACAAAAATGGAAGACAACAATATAAACAGAAAAAGAGTGCCATATGAATTCTAACTTTCATCTCTAAATTAACTGCATTGATAAGGTTTTTATTTACATCCTTCAATCTTTCATCCAACTAGCTGATGACTCTTTTCAAAAAAATGTATATACTGCAATAAATAATGTCAATGTTCTAATGATTGTACAGTAAATGGAAGTAGTTGATCAACTATTTTTATTGTTATCCATTTTTTTGAAGAACATTGTTTAGTACAATGATCATTTTAATGTACCAAGAAATATTTGTATATAACAATTTTTATTCTTGCTTTCTTTAAAAAAAACAAGTAATGAACAACAAAGTAAATATTGATCGTCTATCATATTCATTACATAACTTTTACACAATGATCGTTGACATATTTTAACAGAAGTACAAAAATTGAGGCTGTTTTCTATCTTCAGAGACGTTTGCTTTAATAGGTTTTCTGATAACGCAGTAAAACTCTATGAAAAGACTTTTCTAGAATTGAATCATATAAAGACCCGAATTAATAAAGCAATGTTGTTTAATGTCTTTCTGAAAATAGAACATTGGCTGAAGATTTCATCTTCAAACCATATTTCTGTAGTTTTTCCGCATAAATAAAATGCTTGCTATATCCTGCATCATTGATAAAATGGCGAAACTATATGAAAACCTAAGAGAAATAAAGTCTTCAAGAAATTAAGTATTATTCATTGTTTTTAGGATCGAATAGGATATCTGAAACGATTCTTCATCATACAAGATTATTGTCTACAAATATTATTTGAATCCTTGTTCTAGGTAGATCTCAAATAAACAACTGTTTAATTTTCTTTTCAGATAATAATTGTCAAAACGAGGAGTATCAAGAACTCCAAAACAGATTTTTTTAATAAATTCACATATTAGTATGATTAAACTATCGATATTTTTTTTCAAATAGTCATAAATTTTTGATTTTTATAAGCGTCCATTAAGCAGCAATTTGTAATTTAACTATCTATTTAAGATTTTTGTTTGCTTGGATGAAACATCCTTCTCGACAAATAATTTTTGAACATATTTTACTCTAACGTGAATGACTGGAAGAGCAAATTGATTACTTATTCTGTAACCTTTGATTAAATAATAAAGGATATTCGAAAAATTTGCACAAACAAAGACAACATGAATGATTTCTCAATAGCTCGAGTTACTTTGTCAAAGTTTTATTTTTGGTGTGCGTGAGGATGAGTTGGTGTGGCTAAAAAGAGGACTCCCACACGTCCATACTACAGTCTATCGTCGGTTTTCAAACAAAGACGGCATGGGTCATGTCAATTGTTAATGAACAAAACGAATTATCCTTGAAACGATATTGTAACATAAATGTAATAGCAAAAACAAAAGAAAAAAGGAATCGTCAAAGATAATCGTTGTACGAAAAAAACAATCCAGTTCACTGAGAAGAAAATAAATATTAAAATAAATAATTATAATGAAATTGATAAGGAAATTTATATGGTGACGAACTTACTTTAAAGTGCATCAAGGAGTCAACTTCCTCATCGCACAATTTTTCACGCGAATATTATTAAATAATATCTCGATTAGAATATGTCAATAAGCAATTATATTCATTGTCTGTCTGACCATAATCAAGATCATTGTGATAATTATACTCCAATTAAAAAACGAATAGACTGTTCAATATATCCAAGAACGAAGAGCCAATCTGAAGGCCATTTCCAAAAGCACCTAAACCGATGTTTGCCGGTCTGCCTCCTCTTTCGATACCGCTCCAATAATCCATCCCGCCATATTGTGTCCTAAAATAATCACTTCCATAATATAATCCTCTGTTATATCTCCCTAAATATCAACAAGCAGATCAAAACCGTTTTTAAAAGGCTTTTTCGAATCGAAATAATACGAATACCTGGCATGTAAAATAATCGAGTTGTTTCTGGATAATCAAATCCATAATAATTTCCATATGGATTATTATAAAAATACGGATAAGTTCTCATTGTTTGTTAAAACAGCTATTGGTAATCGAACTTTGTAGATGAATATTGATTTAGCGAATACAATCACTTTTTTTTCAAATATTTATATGTGGAAAAAGAAAGTTTTCTCGGACTCCAGTCATGACTATGACAATGAAACAACGTAGATGTGTCTTTCACTGTTGTGTTCATGGATTGATAAATTTCCTATTCTATGCTATTATATCATTTAGGAAGTGAATGATGTTGTATATAATCACAACTGTACATAACAGAATTACCTTTTTCTCCTTGCTTACGATTAAAAATTATCATGATTTACCTTTCTCTAGTATTTCATCGTAATATTATCGAATAAAGGATAGGATTTCTAAAAATAATATGAACTGAACCAAAACTGTATTGGCACACTTGACTTCATTGTAATTTTACAAAAAGGGAATGTTTTGAAAAAAAAAATACTTGATATTCAACATGATATTATTGCATATTAACTGAATTATAGCTCAATATGAATTTGAAAATATTGATTCAACTTAAGATTTTATTTTAATTTTGTATGAATAAACGACGGCACAAACAACTCGAAAATTAACAATAAAATCCCTCATTATTAAATTCAAATCAAATTATTTATTTATTAACTATATCGAAGATAAAATTCATTAATCAGAGTAATAATCATTTCAATCAATACAGATGGCACGAAAGAAAATATCTGCCAAACATTAACAGAAAATCATGTAATAAAATTAGGTTTTTTCCATAATAATATGCTATGTTAGTTAATAACTTTGTTTTTCTTTTTTCTCAGTTACCATCGGAAATCTTAGACGAATTTTGATAAAGAATTTATCTTTGACCTTTTCTCATATGTTTTTCACCAACTTCTACTCGATTTTTGTATTTCTTTCGCGAAGACTATGAAAAACTGTTCGACGAGTTGAAAGATCTAATTGAAATCAAGGCGAAATTAACCGTCTATGAAAAGATATATTCATGAATATTCAACTTACATTAAAATATGATGCGTGTGTATCACTCAAGGTTGCTCATGTCGTTTAAAGTTTTCTAGTATATCTTATAACCTATCAATGCATATATGATAATAGAATTCAAAAGACCATATTTTAGAGAAGTTACTCGATTGTTGCAAAAGAACAAGACGGGTAGAGCGAGTCTTTGATTAAGACTTAAGGTCATAATCATTAACTGTCACTCTTCAACATCAGTCTAACGATGATCTTCAACACGGGTCTCTGAGTTTGATCTGACTGCTCATTTTCTTTTCGTGTATCAACACTTATTCTAGTTCAAACAAAGATCCAACACTCAAAATAAAACACAATAATAATATCGATTGTAAGTTAATAAAATGATATCCAATCAAAATGAAACGTTTGCAAAAATAACACAAAAACAAGAAATAACTATTGAAAATTAATTTTTTCACATTATTAAACAAATTATTCATAGACAATAATATACAATAACATAAATGATTATATGAACATTCATGAACAGATGAACTTTGTCATCGAGCATTTTCTCGTATTAGACTTATAAATATCTGTACTTGAAAATGTTAATGAGCAATATTCTTTTTCCTTCTAAACATAACTGAAACGCTGACTTTTGCTACACTTGAATCAGTAATCAAATAAATGTTGATGAATCTGACTGATATTTCAACAATACTCAAATGATTCATCCCATCGGTTTTTTTCATATCACTAGAAGTTCTCTTATAGAAATCCGTATCATAAATAAATTTTCAAGGATTTGTTCAAAAAAAACGATAAATGGTTTACAAATGAATAATTTTAGTATACAATGTATAACTTGTCATTGTTCATGCAGAAAAATTTTCAGAAAAAACGTTCCAATATGAATATCAAGTTGTATTCCGAATAACATATTTGTGACCTTGGTTTTATTGTTTGAGTATTGTTAAAATAATTGGTATTTTCTTTTACTTTATTCACAATGTAATCAGCCGCGTGTACCATAGTGTTTTTACATAACACACTTGATCATTTCTGTGCAGAAAAAAAAAACACATGGCTTATCTTTGTCCATGACTTGATAATAGTCTACGATGAAAATATACTTATAGATTTCATTTAATATCGATTAAAAAATTAAAAATTGTAAAACTAAAAACTTCAAATTCTTAAACAGAGTTATTGTATATTAACGGAATAATCTTTAATAACCAATTACAAATTAAGGATTTCAATTAAAGTATTGTTTAATGCTTAATCATATAAACAAAGACAAAGAGTATGAAAATTAGAATACAAATCTCATTATTCAATTCATTACCGAGTTATTGATTTATACTGATTGTATCCAATCTATAAATTATGAATGAAAATAAAACTTATTTCAGTTAACGCAGAACCCATAAAAAATATCTCTTTATATAATAGAGATCATTGATGAAACTAATATTCTTATCTATTCTCTACATTTAGACCGATATTTTTTCCCGTTCGTATCATTGGGTTCTCCATTTCTCTGACAATTTTCAATAACGACTAAGTCCTTACTCTATTCTTATGTGTTTTACAGTAAGCTATCTTGAATTTTCAAGTTTTTCTGTTGAATTCTCTATGAGAAAACGTGCATCAGAAAACTTGAGCATCACACTAAATTATGTGATTGTGTATTAAAGTCTGCTGATCACGTCTTTCAACAAATCTGTATGTATACTGAATGATGCTGAAAGAGTTTATTCTAAGAAAATCTTTCACATCGACAATTGAATATTAGTTCAATCAGTTGTGATGACATTGATGTGGTACTTGCTATACATGAAATTAGAAGAGTGTGCACTGTAGTCAACAATCCAGCGCAACAAACTCATCAAGAGGCAATTGTTAGAGCGAATCAATCCTTGTTGCAATGAATTCGTAAAATTTTTGAGGGTGGGGTGTGGGGTGTGGGTGTGGGTGTGGGTGTGGGTGTGGGTGGGGGTGTGGATTTATTCTTTTAGTTATACACCCACACCGACACCCATACCCATACCCACACCCACACCCACAACCACACCCCACGCACATCCGCACCCATANTATTGTCATTACCAATGATAGAGTCAAAATGTTTCATACGAGGACAAAAATCAAGAAGAAATTGAATCTGTGCAAGTTCATTGATATACTGAAGTTTAACTTTTGTAATTTTGTTGTTATTTGATAACAAGCGAATAATTCTTCTTTCTTTAATCGAAAAACATTTTGACTCTATCATTGGTAATGACAATATTACTAATGAATCAAGATTAGGTAAATATTTAATGAAATCAATTAATGTAGCAATATAAATTCCGCTGAGAGTAATATTTAAACAAGTAATTGGTAACATAACTAAAATTGAACTAACCATTTCAATAAATGGTTCATCATCGTCTGTTGTAGATAGATCGCTAATGTTTAATATCATAGAAGATGTTGCAACAGAATTATGTTTATTAGAAATAATACTTTGTTGTATGTTATTTTCATAGATGTCATCAATTAATTTTTCATCATTTGTCTTTTCTCTTTGAAAATTGCCTTCAAATTTTCTAAAAAAAACAAAATACACAGAAAAATATTATTTACAAAAAAAGAAGGATTCATTTAAATAAACCTGTATGGAAAAATTGAATAGACAATAACATTATCATCCCAAGAATCTGTTTGAATAGAAATTTTAAAAAACCATTTTCGCTTTATCCAGAATGAAGAATTAAATCGATTAATTAATTCATGATAAACAGTTGTTTTGAAATCTTCATCAATAAGATCGTTGTATTGAAATTCAAATGTATTTAATTCAAGTAAATTTTGTGAAATAATTCGTGCCCATCGATTTGCATCCAAATAAGTCACATCTTTTAAAGTATTAATACGTAATACTTGTACTTGAGGTGATATTTTGGTGAGAAACATTTCTAACTCATCATATTCAGCATAACATTTAGTAATAGATATACGAGTTAAACTTGAAATCACATTAACTGTATCTTTTAAGATGTTTTTCTTTGATTCATTTATTTGTCGACAAGTTAAACGACAAAGTTTAGGTGTATATGAAAGTATAGCAATTAATTCATCGAGAGTACAGCAATGATCAATAATCAGATCTTTAATACTACTAAATTGTTCAGTAGTAGCTATGGGTATAGGAATAAATGATTCAAGTGAATTAAATGATAATTTATTGTACTTTAACATAGGTAATTTGACAATCATTTGATATATATTATTAATCTGTTTGAGATCATCATCATAATGGATAATTAATGAGAAAAGACGAGGTAAAGATATTAAATTTATAAGAAGAGATTTGAGTTCATTTGGTTTCATTTTACCTAATACTAACGATTCAAGATGACTAAATGATGAATTAATGTTAAATAATGTAAAACTTGAATTAAAACAATAAAAATTAGCCAAATTAAGTGAAATAATTCGATCTTTGTTCCGAGAAACAATACAAGTCGAACGATATTGTTTAATAGTTTCTGGATGAAAACGAAGATTAATTTTTAATCGAAGAGATGAACCATTGAGTAGAGTACGAAAACGATTATTAAGATTTGAAAATGCATTAAATAATTCACAACCATCAAGATAATCGAAGATTTCATAGAAAAGTTCATTGGATAAGTTTTCCAAACAATTAATCCTTTCTCTAAAAAAAAAAGAAACAAGAACAGAAAAAATAAATGAAGTTAAACATATATATCATCTTTCTTACCTGTCATCGTATATTGCTATATTAAAAAAAATAAATAACTAGATTCATTATATATTAATTTAAATGTAGGTAACTTACTTTTTAGTTTTTTCGTTTCTTCATGACGAGGATTACTATTATTTAGATATCGTTTAACTTGAATCATTTGGACTTAAATATATAATATTATCTAGAAAACTTATAAATGATATTTGACTAGATTTATTATTGAAAATGTGTCTTTATATAGTCTATAGGCTTCTGCCGTTATCTGATTGTTCTACCTTTCGCAGAATTATTTTATATATCAAAAACAGAAATGGGAGAATGCGCGGGTGTCTTCACTTTTCGTGTGGCATATTTACAGACCAACTAGAGTCTCGTGCTATTTTGCTCTCCATCCAGTCGCTTTCTATCATTTCTTTTTGTATTGACTCATTTGTCACTAGCATTTTTGTTTCTATCAAGATTATGGCACCTGCCGACTTATTTGACGAGTGCAAAAAACCCAATTAGGAAGTGACGATATTGGGGAAAAAGTACTTAGACAGGCTTCCCGAAATGACAACGAATGTCTTTTTTCAAATGATTATTTAGATATAATCGATTTAATATACTATGCAGTCATAAATTCACTCAGTGGGAAGGGCAATCAAATCAATCGTATAAATACATAATTTTACTTTAGCAGAACTGCAGTGTCGTGTTATTAATTTTATTATTCTCTTCCTTCAAGAAAAGCTCAATTCTGTTCCACGAAATAAAAAAAGACGATCAATTCTTACCAAAGTGTGTGGATGTGGGTGTGTGGGTGGGGGTGTGGATGTGGGTGTGGGTGTAGATGTTAATGTTGCCTCCATATATACCAAAACTCAGACCCACACCCACACCCATTATTAGAGTATAATGATTGAGAGAATTTTTACACTCATACCAAACTCACATAAACAAGCCACCTGAATTTTAACAGAATCGAAATCTGGATTATGGCAGCTGGATCACATACGGCATTCATCCTCGTGAAAAAGGGAACCTTAATGCGACTATGTTTGCCTTATTTGGACAAGATTTTTTTGTCTTAATAATCCAATAGTCAGATCAAAGACTCTTCTGTATGACTATTTTCACGGTTCTTTGACATATTGGAAAAGTTCATACGTGTGTCATTCATTCACTCTTTATACGTTAGAAAAAATCAATAAATGATCATTGCATGTCGGCGATGGGATCACTTCGCATTTTGTATGAGATTGTCTACACGTGTTTTGGTGATGTGAGAGCCGACTAATGTATTTTCGTTCTTTTCTCTTCATACGTTGATTGCAAGTAATGTTCGCTAAGTGTATGACGAGAAAAAAAAACGTTGCATACACGAACTGCTCGCTTATTTTTCGCTAATGTGAAAAAAATATGATCTATGCATAAGTGATCACTGCAGAAGAAGAGGAATATAAACGTGTACTTGTCGCATTTTTATTCAGTTTTTTTACATTATTTTGTATTCGCAATTAGTGCATTTACCCATTTTCATTCTACTTCGATCGTCCGTGGGCATTATTTAACGGTAAGTACCACTATACTATTTGGATTTAGTCTATCGTACTTAAATGATATATTTTCATACCAGAGTTCGTTAGCTAGAAAAAGTTTCATTGCCAGTTCTATCGTATTGTCGCTCTTGAAAACAGCCTATGAAATCAGCTGCTTACGAATGAGCTCAGAACAAAGGATATATTACTTGTTCTTTGATCCTGTTTGTCACAGTTCATACAAGCTAAGTTGATTTGCTTGTTGAGTTAAACCGACAAACAAAATATATACTCCAAAACCGAAATCTTGGAAATCCAGCTGATTTTTTAGGAACAACTCAGCTTAACGTATAGCCGAACTTGCTAGATTTACAGACTACCGACACCAAAATATTTTTTTTTCTAGACACAGACTACTGTCGATCACACGCTATATCACTGGATGAGCAAAATGGAAATCAGCTTTCTCTCCGGAAAATAGCACAAAACTCATAGCATTACATTGTTCCCTCAAGCGATACAGGGTGTTTCATAAATTTTGAGGCTTGATAAAAATTAGTTTATATGCAAATAAAAAACGATCTCAAACCAAATGTTTTTATATAAAGTTTGAGTACTCAATGACGGTCTTTCAAATGATGTATTATGAGAAGACATCTTCTCTTGTAATAGTAAAAATATAAACATGACAGTATTATAATAAATTTTTCGAAATCGACCAACATGAATTTTTCATTAAAAAAAGAATATTCTTATTTAATAAAAAGATATTAATTTGATTAGACAAAAATGGGTTCAACTATCATGTATCTGTTCTCCACTATTGTTTATCACTTCGCCGAGTTTGTTAGGAATTTTATCGATCATTTCTTTACCATCATCACAAGTTATTTTTTTCATTCTTTGTTCAAAACTTGAAAACTGTTCCTCTCGTGTTTTTTCCTTTAAAATTCTCCATGCATTCTCAATAGACTACATGTAAGCAAATTTAGCATCGCCTTCTTCTGGTAAAACTCGATGATTAAATAATCCATCGACAATTTGTAATACAGTTTTTGTTCGTTGTTTTGAGTCTGCATTGTCTTGAAATATAAGATCTCTTCGACATACCTTTTGACTTTCTGGATGAGCAACTTCTTCAATAAATTTAGCATAAACCACATTTTTGTCTAATGAAATTAATATCTTTGTATAGGATAAGAATGTTTTTCTTTTTTTAATGAAAATTCATGTTGGTCAATTTCGAAAAATTTATTATAATATTGTCATGTTTATATTTTTACTATTATAAGAGAAGATGTCTTCTCATAATACACCATCACCCTCTAATGTTTTGGATCTATGGTTATCTTTCTTTGCTCTTTCGAACTGGATAGTCAATTTCAAAATCAAAACTTTTTCGGCAACCGGCTTGGGTGGTGATCTCACGAATCCTCTCTTAAAATTAAGTAAATTGCTTTAATTAATTAATTCAATATTTCATTCTTGATTTCGCTATTAAGAAAGCTTCAAATTGAATTGAATACGCTTAACAACGTTCAATATTTATTCGAGATTAGAATCGTCATGAATTATATTAACAAAGTTATTCAAGAAGTAATACCACTAACAATTGTATTGTGCTTACCAGCTTACATTATTGCAACATCTGGTACCTGGCCTACAAAACTAATTGAAACGTTTCCAAATAGTTGGTGGGATATTATTTCGCCTATAATCTATGCACATTTATTCGTGATTGTGGGTCACGTTCTAATGATTGGCCAAAATGAAACAAATCTAATGCAAGTGTTCGTGTCATTATCGTTGCCAATTGAAGCCACTGTTGGCATTCCTCGAGCTATCTATATTGGAACAATTCTTAACAGTGCCAATCGGGAACAGAACTATTTATTCCATGTTCAATATTGTAATATTGCACAATTACTAAGTGTGATTTTGTTTTCCATTGGTTTGTACTTGTTTTGTACTACAAATTATCACTTCTGGTCGAAAGGGAAAGGAACATTATCACCAATGATGCCACCAAAGCAGTTTGTGGTAGAAGGACCTTATAAATTCGTACGAAATCCAATGATTGCGTCAATACTCATGATAATGATTGCCGAGGCTTTATTTTTCAATTCTAACGGAATGGCATATTTTACTGGTTCATTTTTTGTTTGCAACACACTTTACTTCATGTTTAAAGAAGAGCCTAAGCTTATTGAAAGATTTGGCGAACCTTATAAGGAGTATTGCAAGCATGTGAATCGCTGGATGTTCAGACTCATTCCTTACGAGACATCATCAAAATCCAAATAATAGTGTTTAAGTTTATTATTATTTCAATGTATTGTAAGGCTGAAGCTAAATGAATTAATTACATATCTAATTAAGGAAACATCTTCGGTAGCTATTTTTGTTAAATATTCAATGTAAATATTAACATTAACAAACTATAATAAAATATTTATTAGTTTTGTTTGAATTCTTATTTTGCTATGCAAATACATCTTCATTATCCTCCAGTTACAGTTAAATAATATTTGGTGTGATAGTCTTAGGTGAGAAAATTACGGGGTGATATTTCGTGTCGCAGAAGCTTCCCAAGATATCTTCTGTTTTTATACAGGAATATTTCATCCATCACAGAGCAAAATTACTAAGATTAGATGTATGAAAAACTATTCACCATGAATGGAACACCCGGACAGATTGGTTTGAGCCATATTGTAATTCAGTGGGAAAATAAAACTGTTCCCAATAAATAGTTGCTGGAGCAGGATCTGATGTGTAGCAAAAGTAAATATCGTTCGAACCTATTTCACATGAATCTATTTGAACATAGATGATGCTTTGTTTTACAAATCGAGTATCTAGAAGCGTTCGTGTATGCTATGACATTACTATCCTACGACTGGACCTTAACCCTCGTACGGTTTTTTGGATTCTGCTGGACCAACATCATGTCATTTTTCGTTTTTATCTACATGACTAAGAGTTCTTTTTCGATCGAACTCTTTTCTAATTGTTGGTCCCTTGCAAAAATAAAAGCGATCGCTCGAAAACGAATTCTTGTTCATGCAGAAAAAAACGAAAACTGATATGATGTGGGTCCAGCCGGATCCACAAAAACCGTACGAGGGTTAGCAGTTAAAAGTTTACCGCGTTCGGCAACAAGTTTTTAGAGCTTTTTTGACGGTTTAGCCGCTACTGTAATGTCTCTATCGAATGCTTAATATTTTCTTTGTTTTAAAAAGTGCCCTGAGCTTCAGTACTGATATCTACTAATAGTTTATCAATATGACTTTGAGAAATATGTTCACAGAAGTGAAAAATAACTGCATACTCAGCGATCTTCAAGAATAACCCAAGGACAGTAAATAAATTATATTGCCTTTTTCGAATGCTTTTGAAGCTATTGTTACAAAAATAAACGGCTGCTACCTCTGCTTTCTTTCTGAAACCAACAACAGCTTAGCTCTAAGCAAGCGTTGCCACCAAAGGACTACAGAGTTTACTGTCGTTGTAAATATTTATTTACAAATACAAATTCTTTTTTTAAAGTTATTTCATTAGTTCTGTTTTTCATTTTCTGAAAATAATAGGATTAAGTGAGACAAGTCTAGTAATCACAATCGAAAATGATTTACAT